TCCCCACGACCTATCTGGGGATCCCCGTTAGTGACACGCGCCTCACCGTGGCGGACCTCCGCCCCACGGTGACCCGTATGCAACATCGCGTAGAGCCCTGGAAAGGGCGTTGGCTGTCGAAGGCGGCGCGCGTGATCCTTATCAACTCCTCGCTAGCTAGCCTCATATGGTTCCTCATGAGCTTCTATAGCCTTCATGAAACGCTCCATCAGGAGGTCGCCAAATACCAGTCCAGATTCTTCTGGGCTGGGGAGGAGGGCAAGCAGAAATACCACATGGTCAGCTGGCCAGATATCTGCAAACCCAAGGACCAGGGCGGGCTTGGGATTCTGTCCTCTCGGCGCATGAACATCGCCCTCTTGACCCGCTGGCTCTGGCGCATTGCCAATGGGGATGGAGGCCTCTGGCTCACTATCATACAGAACAAGTACCTGCGTGGACAGCCACTCGCGTTCTGCCAACGCTCTAGCGGTTCCCAGTTTTGGCAGGCCGTCGTCCAGCTGCTGCCGGTCTTGCGTATAGGCACATCCATCTCGGTGGGCACTGGAGCCTCGACCTTGTTCTGGCTGGATAGATGGCTCGGAGATGCCCCTCTAGCCGCCCGGTTCCCCATCCTATTCGACATTGTAGTTGACCCTCGGGTCTCAGTCGAGGCGGCCCTTATTGACTTAGGGCGCCTCGTGTTCCGCCGCCCTTTTGGCCCCGCTGAGGTGGCTGCCTGGGATGTCCTCCTCCAGGACATCGCCCTCTTACCTATGGACGTGGCCGACTCTCCGGACGCCATCTCCTGGCGCCTAGATCCCTCCGGCTGCTTCTCCACTAAATCCCTCTACGCGGCTATTGCCCCCTCGACAGCCCCGGAGCCCTTCGGTCTGATCTGGGACATCCGCCTCCCCCTAAAGATTCGGATCTTTCTTTGGCAATGGATCCGCGGTCGCCTCCCGACCGGCGTTGAGGTTCTTAAGCGCCATGGTCCTGGCGATGGAATGTGCCCCCTGTGTGGCACGGTAGAGGACGCTAATCACATCTTCTTCTCTTGCTACACGGCACAGTTCCTTTGGTCTTGTTTCCGCGAAACGGTTGGGGGACAATGGTGCAACACCAACTTCCCTGACTTGCTTGCGGAAATTCAAGCCTCCCCCCCTCGCTACAGACATATTAGATGGCTGTGCGTCGGGGTTCTCGCCTGGACGCTGTGGACGGTTCGCAATAAGCTTGTCACTCAGAAGGTGCCCCTTCGGCGTGCTACTGACTCCATCTTTAAAATGTGTGGTTACTTGCAGCTCTGGCGGCCGCTTAGCCGCCCTCAGGACCGGGACGCCATCAACAGACTCCTCACCGACCTCCGTTCGTTGGCCTTCCGCCTGGCGCCTCCGCTCCCGCCGCCACCCCCGGAGCCCGACTAGAGGATGTTTCCCTCCTGGCGCGTGTGCCTTTTTGTGTGTGTGTGTTGGGCTTGTTGTGTTGTGCCCTCAGCCGTACCCCTTGGTGCTTGCTTTTGTTTGGACTCTGTGTGCGTGTGGACTTTGTGTGTGTGTGGACCTGTTGGATGTTGGCTTTGGCATTGGCTTTATATATAAAGCGGGGCGTGAGCCTTTTTCGGTAAGATATTCGCCTTTTCAATTGTTCTGGTTTCAGTTTAAGTGCAACTACGTTGAAAAAACAGACATGCACTGTTAATAAAGCATGTTGTAGGGGTATCCGGGTATATGACTACAGGGGCGGAGCCAGGATTTGAACATGAGGGGGGCGAATAGAAAAAAAATCACTCCACCACACAAGACATAAAAATTGGACGAAAGCAAGAGGGGTTCAATGCGCGACCCAATTTCTTTCCACTTCGCTCTACACCGTCGTTAGTACGAACACAAATCAATGCATTGTGCGGAACATTTCACACCGCAAGGTGCAGCTTATTGCAAAATATAAGACATAAAAAATAACAAGTCTCACTAAGCAATTTATGTTTGGCAACCAGAGAAGGCTTCATTTAATTAACAAAATTAGATCCATGACTAGAAGCTCGCCAAAAAAATTGATAATCCAATAAGGAGAACCTTTCTACAAACAATCTTTACATACAGCAATCATATAATTTTTCAAAGAAAATAATCTCCCGTTCAGAAAAGAACACATGTAATTAGTAGATTAATCAATTTTCGTTTATGAAGAAAACCAATCAACTACACTAATAGGCTTCAATCGGCAGTCCATCAACAAAAGTGTAAAGTACTCCCTCCATTCTGATTCACTCGTCGTGGTTTTAGTTCAGTTCAAATTATGAGTAAATTGAAACGGAGGGAGTACCTAATACATTTAGATTTGAGTGAGGAATACATACCGTGATCAAGAAACTAGAATGGAGCTTGTCGGGTATTGACATATCGGCCGGATTAACAGAGGCCGGGGCCGCGGCTGCCATGGTTAGCTAGCACGGCTCCATCACGGTGATGTTTTCGGTAATCCTCCGGCTCCAGGAAATCTGAGGAGCTGCGGAGCACCTCTTTCTCAACTCTGCATTTTTGAACTGCTGCTCCACCAGCTCCGCGAGTGGAGTTGTGGAGTGGAGCTCCTCCGAACAGGTCCTTATTTGGCGTTTGGCGACTGGCATCGCGGAAGCCGGCAGCCGGCGCGCGGCGGCGAGAACAGCGGCGGGCGGCTGCGTGGTCGCATGGAATCGATCTAAATGACCTGCAGTCGCTCGTTAGGTTTTCCTGGAACCTAGGTGCAGTTGACAGCTAAAAATGGGTAAACAACGTGGGGCATGGGCTTTTTTGGGCCTCGGCACATACAGAACACAACAAACAATTGATTTTAGGCCGTATTAGTACTAATTAG